TTGGATGTTGCCTTGGGATTGCCGTCACTGTGATGACTGCATTCTTGCAAAAGGGCTCAATGGTGGGTATAAATGAGATTGTTAAACTACTTTTCTTTTGCTAAGGACTTGTTAGCAGAAACGTCAGAAACCGTTTCAATCTCCTCCAACGATATGCTTAATGATGTTAGTAGGTAACTTCAAGACTAGTTCAAGTTGAAGAGGAAGAAATGCACTCGAAGCCTATAATTATGTTTACAACCAAGATTTACGATGAAAGAAAATTTTCCAAGTAAGTCTTAAAATTAATTGTCATCATGGAGGCTTTGGCTTGTGACCTTCCAATTCACCAGTACTAAAGTCCTTAAAATTACGGTTTTCATTGGATAAAAGTACCTCGGCTGAATCGAGGGCATCAGAAGTTGGACTGCTAGTTTTGGCTATTCCAGCAATATTTCCAGCGCATACGTGAACTATGCCTGTGTCGTCGTCAGGTGAGTCAGCATAGTCAGATCGTTCGGCATCCATTCCTGGCTTTTCAATGGATATACAAACGGGATTCGAACGTCGAAGACTGACACAAGCTGCCGCCGCATTATTCTCATTCTGCAAACAAAGGGAACGGCTGTCAGGAGTTATCACTAAAATCTTTATCGTGCCCTTGCTAGGCCATTCAACTTCGGGAAATGAACAGATTGGTTTGATTTTGCACACACCCTGCAACATGTGTGACTTCGGCCACTTCTTGAGCTACCTGTACTGGCTTTAATACCAAATAGTATGGGTAGTAAATCTGGTCGTAGAAATTCTGGTACTTGACAAATCAGCTGGCGACAAGTAAGACGAACTCATACCTTTTTTTCAGATATAGGCATTTCTTTGAACCGCAAAATGCGCACTATCTGTCCAGCCTCCATGTGGGTTCAAGGTTGCAAGCTGTACGAGATCGGTGGCACCAACTAGCATCGTTCCCACCAATGGTGTAAAATGTGGTGGTAGTGGTGGAAAAGCCTACTCAACGAGTTTTCCCCACTTTGGCTCACTCCCTCGCAGTGAGCAGACTAACAACATCTCTATTCACGTAGCTAAAAGTCCATCAATTTTGATTAGATTGAACAAAAATGCCTAACCGGAAGTTGCTCAATCACTTCATTGTGAATTTATAGTCATATAGACTGGTCGCAAAGTAAGGAGGTTGGCAGTTGAACTTGTCAGTGTGCTCCGCTCACAGAAAAGGACTTGACAGGTTATTTAATCAACCTTGGAAATGAGACTGCCCCAGTCAAGTTGAGCCCAATTTGAGACAGGAAATGACGTAACAGAGATGTTCACAACCTGCGTATCTACATGCCTTCCTCAGGAAATAAGAGGAACACTAAACCACAAACAAAACTTCAACACGCATTTTGGAGGCTTTACATCTTGCTGAATTCTACTGTTTACCCTCTTGAATAGGAGCACCGTTTTTATTTACACCCACAAAGCACTGAGGAAATACGTTGGCCCTGATGGCGGTTAGTGGATTCAGTTCGTCTAACCTTGTGTTCAAGCATTACTCAAGAAAAGCATTAATGCTCATTGTGATAAATTTTGTGCATTTAACTTGCTGCATAGGTGGGAGGTGGACATTCACTTCAAATGCAATGCTTGAAGAGCGCGTGGAAGACTCTTTAGGGCCTTTGTAGCTGTTCTCTCACCTCAGTCCATCTCCTCCCATTCGTGTAACCCTTTTATAATGCCAAATAAAGCTATTCAGCGCCTCCTGAAGGCTCCAAGAAGATGGATCCTGAGACAAGGTCAGCGATTACACTCACTCCCACCGTCTCTATGCAGCTCTCGATGCAAAACCAAAATACCTTCAGAATTTGAGCTTACATCTCTACCAAACAAAAACATAAATCTAACTTTCTAAGAATCCTGTTGCAAAACAAAGGATATGGTGCTCTTTACATTACGTAAATTCAAGGATTCTGTTTTATTGACTTACAAGACCCAGACGTTTCGAAAGGCGTTTACCGAAGAGTTCAAATGCAGCTTCCAGTGATCCAGCAGCGAGGAGAAGGAGATTGGGAATCAATTTTATAGGTGGAGAGGCAGGTCCGGAGGCACCCTTTTTTTCTCCTGCAGAGTCGTTTCTGTTCATCGAGACAATAGTGCTGGTGGAAAGAGTAGAGTAGACGGTGAGCCAGAGCTCTTCAGGGACCGAGTCACTCTTCGTTTCCTCCTCCTCCTCGTTTCGAAGGTCAGGGAGACTGTCACCTGTGGATTGAGAGGAGTCTGTCTCCAACGCACCATCTTCTGTGGTCGTAGCTTTCCGCAAATTATTGGAATGAGGTGAGAACAAAGAAGGAGGATGTTGACGGCGACGTTGTCGTACTCTCTGAACGGCAAGGGTGAACTCAGGACTCTTTAAAAGATTTGCCAACTGTCGAAGTGGAAGAAGCACGTGATCACCTGTAAATCCCAGAGCAAATTTATAAAATCATTTATTTCTGATTAAACACCTACAAATAGCACAAAAAATTCAGTGAATGTTTATAAGAAAAAAACGTACAAAGAAGTTCCAGGGATAAGCGAACATGCCGTCCTAAAGGGCATTTGGAAAGTCCTGTCGTAAATGTGATCTGAACATTCTTATATGTCCTATTTAAGCACAATGCGATTACCTTAACCAAGGAATATTCAAGACTCATCAAACATTGCCCAGTGGTCACGGTGACACCGCTCTCTGATCGTCTCAGACCGATAGCAACAAATAACACACTTAATCATTTACTTGCCTATATGGCTACTTTATTACACCTTCAAGAAAATTTCTTTTAAGGCTACTGGCGGCACGATTCTGAACTTGCAGGTGAAAGGTGCTTGGCAAAAAGCTGTACGCTCCGAATGCAGAAGTTCAAGCATCAGGTTGTAAGTTGGCGATCACATAATTGGTGAACAACACCTTTATGCATAAGCCATGTTTCTTCAATGCGAAACACCAATCAGTCAAGAGCATGAAATGGCGAAGGAAGCTAGAGAGCAGTCAGGTCGGAGTATTTCATGTATTGCCTTCATTTGGGAAGGCTTAACACTCCTGTGGACCAGGGCGATGGGAAGTAGCCGGCAAATCTATGCACACCTTGTAAGAGACAGATTTCGCAGAGAACATTACATAGCAATTGAGTTTTAGGGCTTATTTCGCTGTTGTGGATGTCCTTGGGAGGACTGAAAAAAGCTACTCGAACGTAATGTTACGGAATGTATTCAATGTCCACCACATAAATGCCAAAATCGAGAGGAATGGTAGACGAGATTGAGAAGTGATTCTTGAAAGCTAAAAGACAAATTTATGGGGTCATAAGCAAAACAACCAATCTATGCCTCAATTCTTGAATGCCTGAGTTTGACGAGAGAGAAGCATGTATGGTCTTCCCAATCATGCCCTGCATAAGGGAGTAGTTTAATCTACCTCGGCCTAGTAAAAAACAGCATAAAGGCCTCACTCAGACACTTTATGCCATTAGCATGGACAATCCGGAGACCGACAAATATGAGTGGAGTGAAGTGCTGGTGCGAAAATCCTTCAACTATTAAGATATCACTATATGGCAAACAAATCATTCATTGCATTTTCTTTCCACAGGTTTCTTTGCCACTTTTAACACAAAAGCTGATATTCCAAGCTTTCATGTAACTGTAGTTTTAAGTTCTTTTAAACCGGCCCATGACTTCTTAAGCTCCATCTACAAGTTGACCATCTGAAGGTCTACAAACTTGATTGGGATTTCAGGGGAGTACGTTTGGTTGAATTGTAATTCAACATAGAAATGCTTCCTT